TCCCTTCTAATGAAGTCCTGGAAATCTAAAGGCAAATGTGTTTGTTTAATAACATCACAAGGCTGAATTTTAGCAGTTTGTTTTCTATGAGGTTCACAAAAAGGCAAATCTTAGTATTTTCATCATCATCATCATCACTTTATTAACCCTTTACAATTTCTTGCATGAGGAATGTGTCTTTTCACAGACCCCAGCTTGCTCTCCATGAGACACCCAGACAGGGAGAGAAGCTGGGGGTCAGAGCGCAGGGTCAGCTATTGTACGGCCCCCCTGGAGCAGTTGGGGTTAAGGGTCTTGCTCAGGGGCCCAATGGAGTAGGATTCCTCTGCCGGCTGCAGGGTTTGAACCCGCAACCTTCCAGCCACAGGCGCAGATCCTGAGCCACAGAGCCACCGCTCCACCTGTTTCTCAACTCTGTTGTACAGTACAGCACAACATATGTGCTTCTAGGGCATAGGTTTTCTTGCAGTAAAGCATTTTTATTGTTCAGTCGTGTTTTGGCCAGGTTGTATGTTAGCTTTTAAAAATAGCTAAATTTTTTTTCTTAGAAAATGTTCTAAAAACAACAAGAACCTCGTTCGTGTTAAATCAGCTGTCAGAAGGCTCCAGGGCTGAAACGTTGTGTTTTCTTCCTTCTCGTTTTTCAGCATGGAATAAACCTATCACTTGTTCCTATGTTCCTTTTAAGACTTTTAATGGGCTGCACGCAGAATACATGCAACCTTGCACATCTAGGCCCAAGCTAGACGAAGCCTGCAAAGCATCGTATCTAATGCTTACTTTTCACAGTAACATACAGCATATGAACTTCGAGACACATGTAACATACAGTATATGAACTTCCACCCTGATTCCATCTAAACCCCCTTCATTCGGTGTTTGTGCCACTTGAACTCCAGCTTTTAGGAATAACATTTAACTGTCTACACTTCTATCTATATATAGGCATTCTGCTTTAACACAATTTAACCTTTTTTCATACTACCAGGCTTCTTGGCCTGGTGCAGTTTTTATGACAACTCATGGAGTCCATGAGTTACTAATAACTAGAAGAACAACAGGGACAAAATGACCCTCTCTCATCTCTGAAACCTCTGTATTTTTAACATATGATGTGGTACAGATAGCCTTGGCTCTGTCAATTTTTATGTTTGTTATGCAGTATGTAGTAAAGCAAAAAGAGAGTGAAATGATTCTGGAGACGAGAGCACAGCACGTCAAAATTGCACCCTGCTCCAGTACATGAAAGCAAAAAACATACCTTTTGTCCCCCTCCAGCCTGTCTGGTACTAATGTATTCTGGTCCCAGCTTCTGTCGCAATGCATTCTGGACAGCTTGGTATTCCTCTGCAGTGTACTGGTACTGGAGAGATCAAAAACACGCAGAGCTGACGTCCTCGTCTCCAGCAGAAATAAAACGACACACTGGGACATTTCCCTAGGCTTCGCAGAAGATGTGTTTTTGGAGTAATGTGTAAACCATCCATCCATTTTGTTACCTCTTCCTTCAATACAGGGTTGCTGGCGAGCCAGAGCCTATCCTGGCAAGCATTGGGCACAAAGGATACACTCAGACTGAACGCCAGCTCACTGCAGGGCTCACACACACTCGCACCTGGGCCAATGTTCGAAGAAACCAATTAATCCACCAGTAAGATGTCTCTGGACTGCGGGAGGAAACCAGAGCACCCAGTGGAAAAGCATGCAAAATAGGGGTTTACATACAAACTCCTCACAGACAGCACCCAGAACAGGCAGCAATGCTAACCACTGAACACTTTTTTTTAATCATCCAACACCCGCCTTCATACCGGGGTATACGACAGCAATAATTTAATCATTAGGACAATATAACACGCGGAGTCTCGGCAAAAGTGCTTAAATTGTGTTGACGGACCTGTCCGAAATACATGGAGTTAGTGTTTGTGCTTCTGCAACCGCTGTGAGCCGTGTTATCGTGCGTCATGTCCTCTCCGTCCTCCAGGGTTTCATTTTATGCACGCTTAAACGAGATAATTCAGTAATAAAACACGAGTAATCAAACCAGCAGTGAGGGTTAAATTAAAAAAAAAGAAAACACCTAAAATATGCATTTCATCAATCCAATCATTTTCCATCATCTTTAAATTTTGAGGTATATTGATCCACAAACACAAGCTTGGAAAGGGTCTTTCTCGTTGCAACTTACTAAAATGTCAAATCTTGTGCAGATCTGTGCACGTTCAACTCTTTTGGCAGGATAACTCACGCCTAAAACAAGATGCGCACTGCTGACAACGTAAAATCTACATTTAAAGGCGATGACTTTTATCTAAAAAAAAAATGCTGGACTTCATGCAAGATATCAATGCAATGTTTTATCGTCACTGATGCACGCATTCCTTTATCTCCCAAGAAATCCGCGTATGTGGTTAAAAATAAAATATACGAGGAGTCTAAAATACTAAATATGCAGATAAAACCGAAAACTCTTACTACGGCAGCACCAGCTCTTGACTAGTCAAAAGTAAACTTTTTCATAACTTCCCGGCAGACATGACAGTTTCCTGTGAGGGTTGCATGCTGGGATCCAGAGCGATCACAGCATTTCATTTACCGCCGCCATATTTGTACAGGCATAGAGGAATTTCTCATTTACACAGATATTGTGCTGTATATTCGCCTTCCCATCTAAAAATTAAATTAGAATTTGCAAATTAACTTTATAAAATACACTTTACTCTTTTAACATATTATTTTTTTTCTTTAATCAGTAAACTGTCTAAAGAATCATACCTGATATATGATCTACACTCACACATGCCAATGGTCCTCTTATAAAATCATATGAGCAAAGCTCTGCCACTTTCCTAACACTGGCAACTGATAGAAACTTCTTGCAGGTCTCAGTGACTTTCATATGGAAGTTGTCAATGTATCATCTGAACTAGGGGTACATTTAAACAATTTAGAAAGTATGTAGCATTGGTCTGCTCTCTACAGTATCCCAGGGACACTTTTGGCTGAACATGAGCCTTTCCTTTTGTATCCCAGTAGAACTAGCTTGACCACCCAGATACAGTACCAATGACTTCCAACTTTTGCACGAGGAAAGTATTCTTGGTAATACATCCAGTTGATCTATTCTGAGTTAATAATCGATTGATTGAAGTTTGCTGGCAGTCACTATTTTAAATCATCAGGGCATTGAAGAGTTGGAATCTTTTCCTATATTCTGAAAACTGTTGATCTGAGATCTCTGCATTATTTTGATAAGTAGTAAAAAAACAAATGTTCTGTACTGGTTTTAATAGGGTTAATGTCAGGGTTAAATTTTTCACTCAATATCATATTTATGTACAAATTGTGGATCTGACCATAATTAAAAACAGGGTTATGTTCCATGTTGTGGCCTGTGCCTATTGACTTTGGCTCTGAGTCACTGGTGAGTGGATGATGCCAGCTAAGATTCAAATTTAAAGTTCGAAATTTTCACAAGACTACAGAGGCTGTGGACAGTATTAGACTGGTCCCAGAGATTGCTGTGGCAGGCCAACAGTGATGAGCAAAGTAGTTTTCGCTGACCTGCCATTAGAGCTAATCGAGGTCTCTATTGTTGGTATATTGTAAGTTCACATGAGGTGCATTGTTTGATTAATAGGATAATTGGTGAAGGGCTGAGAGCCAAATATCCACGTGGGGTTGATTTAGTTTGGTTTAGTATACAGTATAATGGGAGTCAAATGGGTTTGCTTGAGAGTAAGTCTTTAGTGGTGATCCAAGCTTATGCTTTTTGTTCTTCAGGATGAAGTCTTCCAGCATGTTGTTTTTGCTGGCTGTTGTGGTTTCCGTATGCTCAGACTAAGCTAGTAGGAAGATCATTCAGATAGGTTCTGAGGTGTCAAGCCATGTAGATCCACCAGTTTAGAGGCCTGGCACAACAGTATGTGTGATGGCACAACGTTGTGTAAATTGAATTAGGGTTGTTGAGATCTCTTCTCTTTTGACTTGTTGCAACGTTTTAGAATCCAGGGGAGTTTAAGGTGGCATTTTAGCAAACTTTTACATTTTTATATTTGAAAATTGGTGTTATACCAGGTCCCCAGCTGCTACTTCATCTTTTGAAAGTAGTCTTCCTCATGCTTCTGACAAAGCCAGTAGTGGAACAAAGTTGAGAGTTTTACTTTTGCTCATTTACTTTTGTTTTTGAAGCCCTGGCCTTAAACTCATAGTGTAGAAGTATTTTCCAAGTAGTCTATGAAAGTAAGACAAAGGAAGATGGGACAAATTAGCACAAAGAAACACAGGAGATTAGAAAATTAGTAGGAGAATCAAGGAATAGACACAGATGCCCATTAAATACACAGAAGAAGAAGGTTTTGAGCTTGGATTTGAATGGTGACTCATATCATTCAGGATGGCATTCCAGAGCTTCTGGGCAGAATAAGAGCTGGCCTTGTCACCCATAGAGTGTAAATGAGCTTTTGGGACAAGCAGCAGACCAGATGAAAGAAGGTTATTATGAGGTGTGGAGTTGGAAAATAATTCAGATTGGTTCTCAGGTGCCGAGCCATATAAATGAGCATGAGGATTCTGAAGTCCACACAAAATCTGAAGTCTATCAAAGGTTTCTTCGTGGATCCTGAAGTAAATGTTTTCTGTTCATCCAGGCTTATGCTATTTATGTGATGATGAACTAAAATGTTCATGAGAAGCCAAGAATCAAAAACCTTGGTAATCTTGGAAACCATGGGCTCAGTTTTTTGAAAAAAAAAAATGCAATACTCCTCCAACCTACTGTAAGACATTAGAATATAGTGCATACATACTGCAGGTAGAGCTATTTTAACACTTTTCTTTAAGTCATTTATAGAAAGTGACTTAATATATTGTCTCACCTGTTGGTTTAGCAACATCAGTACCTTTAACTGGCTGGGGAATTTTATTAAATTAAGTAGCGAGATAATGGGGCTAAATCAAATCCAGTTATACATCCTCTGCAACTGAAAGGTTGTAAAGAAGGCCAAGAGCTTTATGAAGTGCGTCTCATCTCCTCCCTTATGCATTTACAGTACTCCCATCTGAGAGACACCCCAGATGTAAAAGCCACAGAATCAGGAAGTTGTTCATCCTCGCTGCAATTCAATTCAAGGTGCTTTATTAGCATGACCGATGGGTACAATCAGTGTTGCCAAAGCAAATAAAAATAATAAAATTAACATGCAACGAAACAAAAAATAAAAGTAAAATAAAATCTACAGACATATTAAAGGCATTTACAACAGAGACATATCATAAAATTTACATATATTGTAAACATATGGAGCATTACTGGGAGACAGACTCACTATTCCTTTAGGCTGTGACAGGAGATCACATATTGGGCTGCCAGTTCAGCTGAGTTCCCTCCTCCCTCTCCCAGTAGAATATATCACTCTCAAACAATAAAGTAACTCTCTTCTCTCTTATCTCCTATAACACTATTGTTTTCTGTTTTGTCTTCCTTGTTCTATTGAATTGTACCATAAAACAATTTGGGCCAGAGGATATTAAATTGAAAGTAAAAGATATTGCCATTGCAGCACTGTAGTCAAATCTCAAATCTGCCACCAGAGGGCATTCAAATCCTATTGATAAAGCCCATTCTAAACCTTTCAGGCCAAAAATAGCTCTTGGGAACTGAGGAAACCAATTCACTCACGTACGGAAACTGGTATTGAAACAAACTTTTGTTGTTACTTAACGCATTGTATTTTTTTGTATATTGTTACAAACAGGGGGAAATAACAGAGAAAATCAGGAATTGAACAAGTGACTAAGTGTAAAATAATCATAAGCCCCTACTTGTAAATAGTTTTTCCAAGGACATACCTGAGCGGTTGCTATGATTAGAGACACGTGAATTCTTTGTTCCCTGGCACAGTTTGGTGAAAACAGTGATTTAGGCACACTTGGTTAAACAAATATTAATAATAATAATTTATTAACAGTGACAAAATACATACACACACACCATAAACATAACACAGAAGTTAATCATTGTACATACAGTACCTTCAAATAAGGTGTCCCAGAGGTCTAATGCCCTAACCACCCCCCAAAAAAACCCAGACTGTTACCAAGTATTAGAATCCTTATATAATAATAAAAAGAATAATTGCTTACACTTATATAGCGCTTTTTTGGACACACCACTCAAAGCGGTTTACAGGTAATGGGGACTCCCCTCCACCACCACCAATGTGCAGCATCCACCTGAAAAGCTCACCACACATCAGCTATCAGTGGGGAGGAGAGCAGAGTGATGAAGCCAGTTCATTGATGGGGATTATTAGGAGGCCATGATTGATAAGGGCCAATGGGAAATTTGGCCAGGACGCCGGGGTTACACCTTTACTCTTTGCGAGAAACGCCCTGGGATTTTTAATGACCACAGAGAGTCAGGACCTCCGTTTTACGTCTCATCTGAAGGACGGCGCCTGTTTACAGTATAGTGTCCCCGTCACTATACTGGGGCATTAGGACCTACATAGACTGCAGGGTGAGCGCCCCCTGCTAGCCCCACTAACACCTCTTCCAGAAGCAACCTTAGTTTTCCCCGGAGGTCTCCCATCCAGGTACTGACCAGGCTCACACCTACTGTACTTAGCTTCAGTGGGCTCCCAGTTGTGAGTTGCAGGGTGATATGGCTGCTGGCAGTATATAATATCTCCAAAGGCCAAAATAAGAGATATACTGCCGTCTAAACTAAATAGAATATAACCTGTAGTCAAATTTCTCTCTGTAAACCCAGATGTCACTTATCTCCCTATTCTAAAAATGCACTCACTAACCAGGAGAGGCTTTTCTGAACCAAGGGATTCTTCATGCAGGAAATCAGAGTTCCCTAAAATCCACAGAATAATAAGCTCTCTTAACAGGGTTCAAATACTTAGCCCCAATCTGTTCTTCCCCGGTGATCTGTGTTACGCTGTTGGACAGCTAATTGCAAGGGATGGAGCCTATGCAGGTAACAGGATCACTGGGAAAGCGGAAAGTTCCGAGAGGCGAGATCAAAAGACGAGCAAAAAAAGGCCAATCAAGCCAAGAGCGAAACGAGACAAAAGGTATCCAAAACAAAGTCCAGAAGTCATGATCAAAAAAGCAAGCCTAAAATCCCCAAAATAAACCCCAAGGAGACTATGAATAGTTCTAAAAAATCTAGCCCAAAACTGAACAGAGTTGGATCAGGGAGCAGGGCTTAAGTATGCTCGAGGGGAGACGTGTTGATGGGTCAACGACGTTTGATTAACCTACACCTCCCCAGAGTGGATGAGGTATGTACTATGGGTTTGGGAGCAAGGACTCTCACCTCCAGTATTTTATCTTCTGGCCTGTGGATGGAAAATGGGGCATAGCGAATTAATGATTGTCAGAGTTAGTTCAGCAGTGAAGGTTTGTGGGTTTACTGGATGATTAATGATATGATATGATATGATATGATATGAATAGAAATCTGAGTAGGAGTTCATGGGAAGAGACACTCCTATTGCAGCTCAGTGTCTGAGCCCTGAGGAATGATTCCTCAGGGCTTAAATATATTTAAGGTTCCCTTAATGAAGTCTGAAAGGCCCTGCCTGATCTCATTAAGGATGGCCCTGACAAGCTCATAACACGTGTGGAATGTGTTGTGGAATTTGAAGCTGGAGCCCTGGAGCTCGTCAGGTCGTCTTGTCTAGTGGTCTCTCCTTTTTGACGCTCTGCTCCTGCACTGTTAGTTGCCATTTAATCATTTACCCAGAATGTAATTAACTAAGGTTGCCCAAAGTAGGAGCCGTGGTTGCTCAGACGGCAATGGGACATCTAGCTCCTGACCAGAAGGTCCCGGGTTCAATCCCAGGTAGGGGCAAGCGATGTAGCTTGCTCTAAATCCTTCCAGACGGCTCCCAGGTGCACTCAGCCTGCTTTCCAAGGGAGTACCAGGGATTTATCCTTCCAGGGGTAATAGGCCAGCCGGAGTGTGATATTGACCACATCACCTCCACCTCCAGTGTTGGATGGTCAAAGAAAAATGATGGCCCTTCCCCCCCATTCCCCATGGGCCTTTATGGCCTGAAAAAGGACCTACCTCCCTAAACCACAGTAACCTTTACAATTGCTTTGATTCTCGTCCACTGAAGCTGGGAATGTTGACACTAGCCAGGTGTCCTCATTGTATTTAGATTCAATTCATAACAATATAATAAAAAACTTTATTTTATATAGCGCCTTTAAAAGTGGCTTCTCAAAGCGCTTTACAGGATGACAACAACAATAAATAAGTAGAATATACAAGATAAAACACAATTACAATATACAGAGGAGACCGTGGATGGTGGTACTAAGAAAAGCAGAGGGGTGAAGAATGGAACCAGTTAAGTAAAGGCTTTTCTGAAGAAGAGGATTTTGAGTCTGGATTTGAAGGAGTTTAGAGAAGGTGACTCGCTGATATCCTTGGGGAGAGAGTTCCAGAGCTTGGGGGCATAACAGGAGAAGGCCCTGTCACCCATACAATCTGGACGGGCTTGGGGGACAGTTCAGAGACCAGAATTAGAAGAGCGAAGGTTGCGAGGTGGGGAGTAGGGTGATAAAAGTTCAGACAGGTACTGGGGTGCCAAGCCATGCAGAGCCTTATAGGTGAGCATGAGGATTTTAAAGTCTACACGGAATTTGACCGGAAGCAAGTGCAAGGACTCCAGGATAGGAGTAATGCGAACACTTCCACTGGACCTGGTCAAGATTCTGGCTGCTGAGTTTTGGACATACTGCAGTTTGTTCAGAGTAGATTTAGATACCCCAACAACAAACAGTATACCCTTCCCATACCAATTATCTTAATAATTATCTTTCCAACAAACATACAGGAAATCCAGTTAATATTTAAATAACAAAATATATTTTTGGTAAAATGTATGACATTTTGTAAATTAACATGTCCTTGCATGTTTCTGGGAATAATATTCACTCAATTAGTTATGTGCTTAATTGTAATTGAGCTTGTAAATGAAATTGTACCTAATTCTGTACGTTTTAAAAGTTCGATAACTGGTACCACAATGGCTTAATTCCTAGCTGGTTTATTGGATAATATTACATTTAATCAGTGTAAAATCTCAAAGCTCCCATTAGTTAGTTGTTTGTTGCAACACCAGTGCGTTTCATTGGAAACCTTCTTCAGAATAATAGAAAATAATACAAATAACCATTTTAAGTACACAAGCATAACTACCTTCAGGTTCAAGCACGCGTTATGGTGGTATAACATGTATTTATGCCATTCTGGAAACCAAAAGAATAAAATGTAATGTCTGATTGTATGGTTAAAATTAAAATATCCCTTAGTACAGCTATGGGTGGATACAGTTCACTGTCAGTGGCTGCTCAGTAGCAGTTGAAGTGTTTTACCAACATGAAGACTCAAAGCACAGGCAGTGATGCTATTGTAGTATGGGGAGCACTGTGTTTCTTCAAACGGATATTGAACAATTGCATCCTGATTGCATGTACAGCACTACCAGAGTCTGTTTTCTTTTTTATGTACAGTAAATAGTGGAGATTGATTTTGGCTCAATCTTTAGAGTCCTATTCTTGTTGAATAATGTAACCGCCAACAGATGCATCTTTTCCAGAATGTTTTGTGATGAAGAATGGAATGATTGCTCCTTTTATTTCTGTATTTCATGTGTGAACCTTCGTCACTTCAATTTTTTTTTTTAGCATACCCGTGTTTAACTATATTCACTACAAAAGGCTTGAAATCTTTTTCACCAGATTTCAGGAACTGAAACGTGCAGTTTGTGCTCAGAATTTCCTTCTCCAGTGCTCGCCCAATCTAATTTAATCGTTTAGTGTCCTGAAGTGATCTTTGCTTCTGAGCTCCAATTTCTCAGAACAGTTTTTCTTTACAGGGAGATATTTAATATGGAAGTTAACAGTTATAGTGGCTATCAAAAGTAATCACCAACATTGGACATTTACGCATTGAACTGTAACAACATGAAATCATAATTGATCTCATTTGGATTTTTTGCCATTGATTGATACAAAACACTGCATAGCGTCAAAGTGAAAACACTATTTTACAGATCACCCAGACAGCATCTTGTACCTCCAGCAACCTTATTTACTGTATCTCCTGCAGTAAATGCCCAGCCATCTACATTGGAGAAACAGGAAGGAGACTCGGAGACCGCTTCAGAGAACACGTCAGGGCTGTGAAGATTAAAGATCTCTCCAAGCCCATTGTTTCTCATTTCACCCCTGACGGCCACGACCACTCTAATCTCTCCTTCTGTGTTCTCAAAGACGGTTTTCCGAACTCATACATCAGAAAGACCAGAGAAACCAAAATTATTCTGCAGCTAGGATCAGACATTCTCCCTTCTCTTAACGACAGACTACTGTTCTTTTAAATTTTCTCCATTCATTGGAAGTTTCATTTCACACCTCTCTGCACCCATTCTGACTTCACACCTCTTGATTGGCCTCTCTTTCTGTCCCCTGCTCCCGCCTCTCACTCCTCCTCCCTCCCAACCTTTGTTCTCCCGCTACTTTACCTTTGCCTACTGCCCTGTCTCTCTCACACCTGAAGAAGGCTCCAAGGCTGAAACGTTGTGTTCTCTTTCTTCTTTTTTTCAGCATGGAATAAACCTATTACTTGTTCCTTTGCACTATTTTACAGATACTACACAATTAGTTACAAATATATAATAAAATAACTGTTTGTATTAAGTATAAAATGAATAAAAATTATTTATCAATTTGTATATCTATTGAAAATGAATAGAAATGCACTGATCAGTGAATTTGAGGCTACCACCCCTCTAAACTGAAGAAATTATTGGTTAAATAAAAAGGACAAATACTGCAGAGTATATAAGAAATCAATGGGTGACAACACAGTACTCTAATGTTTATAATGTAATATAATATACATCTAATATATTTATAATGTATTTTTGTCAGGGAACCTATTGGTAGAATAGGAGGATTCTTATGTGTAACCATGAATCCCACAGAACACAGAGTAGCAAAGGGAAAATCCAAAAGACAAGATCCATAGGCTTGGTCGATTAGGGAAGCAAAGGGTCTGGTAACGATAGATATCCAAAAGACAATCCAAAAACAAAATTCAAAAGGCAGGAGCAAAGATTTAGTAACAGGAGGTCAGCGCGCGCGCGCACACGCGCGCGCACACACACACACACACACACTACAAGAGGCTTCCCAATAGTGAGCATGGGTTGGTGTGTAAGGGGAGTTTAAATACCGAAAGGAAAGGGATGTGGTTGGATAATTGGTTCGGGGGTGAGAAGTTGTGCAATCTAGTACATGGGTTCGTGGGAATGTGATGGGTTCAATTAGGAATGAGATTGTGAAACAGTGGTTCTGGGAATGCAACGCCGTTTGCGAGGGAGAGTGTGGGGCGAGACAATTTTTTTCTTTTTCTACACCAGGGGCTTTAATAAAACTGGGTTTGAAGAAAATATTAGGGATGAAGGATAAGTTTAACTCTACCTTACTCTATCTATGATTTGATCCCCTACATTACAGTGAGTCCCTAACTTTTGAGCTGCAGATAAATTAGGGGTAAACCGAAAGTTAAAATGTAAAATTAAAAGAAATTTGAGGCTGCGACATGCTACCAGGGCAGAGTAGGAGAAAAAAAGGATCACTATACAATGACACAGAAGGGTATATTTGTTTTGTTTTTATTGGAGTCCACTTCAATTGAAGTTGTATTTTCTGAAATTATTATGTTTTCTGCAGGATGAAACTCTCACGTCTAGTAATCATCATGGAAAGGATATTCTGGGTGATCACTCCACCTGTATGGGAAAGTAAAAATGTTAGTTGAAGTAATTCAGGTGGGTAGCTGCGTCAGCATGCGTAGGCTGCAAAGGAATAAGTAATAGGTTTATTCCATGCTGAAAAGAGAAGAGAGAGAACACAATGTTTCGGCTGTGAAGCCTTCTTCAGGTGTCTGAGGTGTCACACCTGATAAAAATTGGAATTATGACAGGATTTCGTTTCCCCAGTAAACCTCAAAACCAAAAATGTTTTATAGCAGCATTTTAATAGCTTGTCACAGTTTCAGGAAATGCACAAAATGAAGCCATGTTTTTCTCTAGCGGGGTCAGCAGCAGGAAGGATTTCAAATCATCTAAAAAGCAGCATTTCCAACTTCTAGCCACCTTTCAGAAATCAAGAAGGATGGGCCAGGTCAGTACTGGGATAAGAGAACTCTACAGAAACCAGGTTGCTGCTCTAAGTAGTGCTTAGAGACCTGTAGGTGGTGCTCTTTCTTCTGAACCACATTTACCTGCCCAATGCTTCAGTATGGAGATCTGGTTGTTTAAATTTCCACAACACAGTTTGTTATAACATGGTGTTTTAACCCAGATGGCTTTAATTGCTTTATTTTGTATTTAATTTTATATAGTAGATTGATTAAGGTTTTGTTGGCTTTCATCAAATATTTTATTCATGCAAATATGGGCAAGAAGTAATAATTCTGAAAGATTTGTTCTGTTCTTTTGTATCTTTGTTATATTTCATACATGTCGTGTGGCTTCGGTTATAATAAACTGACAAAAAATATGCTTTATAGAAAAAACAGAGAGTACATTATCACACTGATTTTTGATTGAATGAAAAAAAAATCTAGTGAACGTTCCTGTCTGGTCCAAACTTAACTGTAACTTTTCTTTCAGATGATCTACATTTAAGTAGATTTCCCTTCAGATTCTATTCTATGTAATGTACAGGGGTTATTTTTTTAACATACTTACATTAAAAGCTCCACAAATCTTACATTTTTGTTTAGTCCCTCGATCGCTTTCATTTCTTCTTCAGTAAGAGAGAAATCAAAGATCTGTGACATGAAACAATACACAGTTATCGAGAGAAATAACATCATTTATGGGAGAATACCAAAGACAAGGTGTAGGTGAAATTGTAGAGTAAAAAAATATATTTTAACATTTTTGCAGAGTGTAAAAATATAGCACTAATGTTTCTCTCACTTGAGTTTCTGGTTCCTCTTTTATTTAAATATCCTTCATCCCATTCATTTTCAGTAACAGCTTTATCCTTACAGGGCCTGGGTGGGTTGGAGTCTAAGCCAGCAGCTGCATGTTTAAATATCATATTTGTTCTAAAATTGAGAAAGTATGTAGGTCATTTTGTCTCCAAAACATCATTCATATGAAAAATAATTTGCATTATTTCTTGATCTCTTCTCCCCAAAGTATCGGTGAAGCAGGAGTAGATCGTAAGATTACTGTTCTGTAAGACTTGCCTGTGAGAGGCTTTTGGTAAGACCATCCACTTGCATATTTTAAAATAATTCGAAACCCCTCATCAGGAAGAGAGACGATCATGTTAAATGGGAGATACAAGGACAGGATCAGAATATTTTGTGGTGCTAGCTAGTGTTTTGATTTGATCCACCTTCTAGACCTAGGGTCTCCAACACAAGACCCCTGTCTTGTGCCCTGTAAGTTATGTACAGGTACATGGTTTCTATTGAACTACCCTGTTGAACCAATCACAGTGAAATCATTCTATTATATCGTTTTAGAAATCAATAACTTAATGGTTACCTATACCACAAAGCCTGCTGGTTAAGGGATCTCCTGATCAGAGCTGGAGACTCTTGTTCTAGATACAAAGTGGAAAGAGTTTTTCCTGTGCTAAAGAGATTTTCCCATTAGTAGGCACAGATTCTCTCCACCTTTAGGTCTTTAGGACCATAGAGACTTTACGGTAGTTACCGCAGTTCATACTGACCTGGAAGTTGTCTTTGATACGCTGAGGGCTGAAGCTTTTTGGAATGACCACAACTCCCCGCTGAACGTTAAAGCGCAGGGCCACCTGAGCAGTTGTCTTGTTGTACTTCTTTCCGATAGCAACCAGGACTTCATCTTCTAACAAAGGCGGGCAAGTTAAATTGACCCTTTCGGGGGAAAAAAATGTCATTGTGGCTTTATTTTTGTTGTTGTTGCTTTTCTAGATGGTCATATGTCATGTACTTTGCTTCATGCTGCAAGGATAAGCTGTGGACCAATAATCAAAATGGGCTTAACCTGTTGCGTAGCTCTGTATATTGAACTACAATACCTGCTGACTTCTGTCACTTCCCGCACTCGCCCTCGCAAACCCCATTACGTTCCCAAACCCACTGTTTCAAGCTCTCATTTCTAACTGAATCCATCCCATTCTCACAGGCACCTGATTCCACAGATTCTCACTCCTGAACCAATTATCCTACCACGTCCCTCTCCCTTCGCTATTTAAAGTTCCCTCACGCACCTAACCTTACTCACTATTGGAAAGCCTCCTTTAGAGTTTTCTGGGGCGCGTTATTTTCTTGTTGGATCTCTCGGTTTTTGGACTTAACTTTTCCCCTTTTGATCTCATCTCTTGGATTTTGCCTTTCAGATTGTCTTCTCTGTTTCTCTCGCCACTTTCTGGTTCACGGATCTCTAGCTTCCCCTCTCGACCTTGCTGCTGGATTACGATTTTGGATTGTTTGCCTCTGCATCCTGCAGAATTCACGGCTACGCACAGGATCCCGGTTCCCTGACAACTTCAGGAGTACTCGATTTTAATGAAATTTACTGAAATTTTTATGAAACTGAATTATAGTAAGCTATAGTCCTCAGATGCACTGTTTATTTTTACATGGGTAGTAGGCTTCTCCATCAAATCATTAAAATCCTTTAATCCCTCAACCAGTTTTATTCGTATATAGCACCTTTCAATTTAGAGCATTCTCAAGACACTTCAAATAAATTATAATATATTGTAAAAAATATGGTTAACCAATAATAGAATAAAGCCCATACTGTATGTAAATGGGAAAATCAAAAGAAAGATTATGAGTTGAAGGCCGCTGAAAAAGAGTTTTGAGGTGAGATTTAAACACATTAACGGAGGCCAAATTTTTAATATAGACAGGAAGAGTGTTCCACAAGACGAGGGCCTACTGCTGAAATGCTTTAGTTCCCTAAAGTACAATGTGGAATCCGTAGCAAAATGCAAAGAGCAACTTTTTTCTTCCCCCAAATACCTCATTGCAGGTACGTACCAAGATGCGTCTCGTGATGTTCCCAATGGGCTGTAGCCTACAATCACGATGTCATTCTGTCGACAATATTCTAGCAGCTTCGGTTGAGTGAAGTAAGGGTGACATTCAACCTGCACAGATAAAAAGTTGGCTTGTTAATTCATAATAATGTGAAACAAAGCTGGGATTGGGCTGCTTTGAATGCAACAGCAAAAATGTGTGAAGCAGGCAAGTGTGCAATTTGTGTCCCATTTTCACTCCTTATATGAACACTATATTGTACATCATTTGTGCAATATCCATCCATATTCTAACTGCTTCTTCCGATACAGGGTTGCCGGAGCCTATTCCAAAAGGCAATGAGCACAAGGCAGGGTACACCCTGGACAGGACGCCAGTCCATCGCAGTACACACACAGACAGACACACACACCATCCCACCAGAGCCAATTTTCCCAGAACCCAATTAAACTTCTAGCATATTTTAACTGTGGAGGAAAAGGGAGCACCCAGGGGAAGCCCGTGCGAACTCAGGGGGAGAACGTACAAACTCCACGCAGACAGCACCCCAGGAATTGAACCCACTGCACCAGCTTTTGTGCATATCTCTTCAAAGTGCCCTTGTAAAAGATGAAACATTTTTTATATAAATGTTCATTCCACACAGACCTTCAAAGGCATTAGAAACAAAAATAAAGGATGTAAATATTAAGTGATATAATACATTGGAAGAGCTAGAGCAAGTATTGAGTAGGCTACGCAAACTACTTCCTACAGCAGCTAAGCTTAAAGCCTGGTATACATATTTTTTATAAATTTTGTCCACAAGTCTATGAAGACTGAATTTGGGCTTTAGTGGAGGAAGAGAAACTTCCCCAGGAGGAATGACTCTAGACTGCGGAATAAAGGCAGACACTGGCCCGAGCTACTAAAAATTCAAACTCGTCCACATTATCTCTGTGACAATGGAAAAAAAGAAGTGCTGTTTTGAGTTTCACGTCACATAAAATGTGTAAACATCAGAGTCGTTGTTCGTAGCTGGATCATTCTGTATGAGAAATTATCTCATCATCCCTGAGAAACAGTGTGAAGCTGACTATTTTTTAAAAAATAAATGCCTTTTAATAAAGCAACGAACCTGATAACATCAGAATGACACAGGTATGTGTATGAAACACAGGTGCAGACAGACCTGTCAAGACAACTCAATTCCACAGCCTGTAAATATTGTTGTGTAACAATAAAACCTTTTATGAGTTCATTTAATAATCTATCCTACAATGTATGTGCACTCCCAGTTTCAGTTTTCGTTGGTTACAGAAAAGATGATTTGCCCTCAGTAGTTTTGGCAAACTGCTGGAATTCAGAAGGAGGTCTGAACTCTCATATTACCTTTCATTTATTGCCAGAATTATCTAAGCCCTCTGGATCATTTTTGTCTTCTGTTACCTTTACAGATAGAGCGAGATTTATACCCGTTTGTAATGGCCTGTGAGGGATCTCTACCTGGTTTGAAACAGGCTTGTGTTTCAGGCCTGGCTTGTTCAAGATCATCTCCAGCTGCCTGCGGTTGAAGTTGGAGACTCCAATAGACTTTGTCAATCCTGCATCTTTGCAAGCTTCCAAAGCCTGTTTTGGGAAATATTAAACACACAAAAACCATATAGAGCAGCAGATGTAAGTCTTGGAACCCTGTAATTCTTAAAATATTTCAACTATCACTTTCCAGGATGGCCAATAACACAACGACAAGCATCACACAGTATAGTCTAACAAAATATGTACTTAGAAGTGAAAACCCTTGTGTCCGTTTTAGGATTTTCACACTTAAGTGTGCAGTTATAATTTCTGATGCACAATTCACGTCTCAGCATGTTTGAAACAATAGTTACAGTGAAGTATTTCCATGCTGCGCTTTAAGACAATCATATTGTCTTAAAGAAACAAAATACTGTTTTCTATTTAATGCATTTGTAATTTAATACCATGAACAGTATTCTGGACTCAAATCATCAGTGTTTCTGAGAAAATACTGTGAAATTCCAACCCAAATTAATTAACAGGTGTTCGTCATGTGCATCATGTACAATGGATTTACTCTTCTGAGGCTCTTTTGATATTGAATCTGAAGTTCTGCATTTTAAGTGCTGCCAAAAAAGTTCAAGACATGTTGACTGACTGAAAAATGTGCTTATTGAACAATCTTGCTGATAAGACAGTATTGGTTTGTCATTAGAGGTGTAGCGGTGAGGCTTATTAATAAGGCAGAATTAAGTGTTGTGGTGCTTTCCCAAATGAGGCCCCATCTCTCTGTTCTCTGTTCAGCCACAGAGAAACTATTCATGCAGGCTGATTTAAAAATCTTCTACATTGATAAGGGACAGCTCCCAAAGGGGGATGCACTTAGCTAAGCCTGGCTATCATGATCAATGGTCATCCATTGGCGCCTATCTGTCTAGGGAGTGCCAGATG